ATAATCAGTACAGAACGGTGTCTATGATAATCAGTACAGAATGGTGTCTATGATAATCAGTTCAGTCTGGTGTCTATGATAATCAGTACAGTATTGTGTCTATGATAATCAGTACAGAAAGGTGTCTATTATAATCAGTACAGAACGGTGTCTATGATAATCAGTACAGACCGGTGTCTATGATAATCAGTACAGAACGGTGTCTATGATAATCAGTACAGAACGGTGTCTATGATAATCAGTACAGTGTTGTGTCTATGATAATCAGTACAGAACGGTGTCTATGATAATCAGTACAGAATGGTGTCTATGATAATCAGTACAGCATGGGGTCTATGATAATCAGTACAGAATGGTGTCCATGATAATCAGTACAGCATGGTGTCTATGATAATCATTACAGAATGGTATCTATGATAATCAGTACAGAATGGTGTCTATAATAATCAGTACAGAACGGTGTCTATGATAATCAGTGCAGAATGGTGTCTATGATAATCAGTACGGAACGGTGTCTATGATAATCAGTACAGAGCGGTGTCTATGATAATCAGTACTGAACGGTGTCTATGATAATCAGTACAGTATGCTGTCTATGATAATCAGTACAGAACGGTGACTATGATAATCAGTACAGAATGGGGTCTATGATAATCAGTACAGCATGGTGTCTATGATAATCATTACAGAATGGTATCTATGATAATCAGTTCAGAACGGTGTCTATGATAATCAGTACAGAACGGGGTCTATGATAATCAGTACAGTGTTGTGTCTATGATAATCAGTACAGAACGGAGTCTATGATAATCAGTACAGAACGGTGACTATGATAATCAGTACAGAATGGGGTCTATGATAATCAGTACAGCATGGTGTCTATGATAATCAGTACTGCATGGTGTCTATGATAATCAGTACAGAATGGTGTCTATGATAATCAGTACAGCATGGTGTCTATGATAATCAGTACAGAATGGTATCTATGATAATCAGTACAGAACGGTGTCTATGATAATCAGTACAGAACGGTTGCTATGATCATCAGTACAGAATGGTGTCTGTGATAATCAGAAGAGTATGGTGTTGACAACGTTTCTACTTTAATACTTAGCGATAAAGCTTACAAATGCACAATGCTTATCACAATTCATACATAATGTGCTTCAAGATCAAATCAATTTACTTTTCAAGGATGCGTATCTTTCAAGCACACGTACATGTGAAACTATGTATAAGATGAGTAGATTGTACTTTTAGTTTAAGAAGGTTAACGTTAATTTTCATACGAGTCGCTATTCCATCGTGTCACATGGCTGATATGGGTGTTTTAACGTGTCTGCGTCATGATCGGATTAAAGGATTGCACGATCTCCTTTTATTTGTTTATAGAAGAATATGACAATTGCAGATATTAACGTAGATTGTAAACCTATACATTTTCTTTTTGTATTCAAAATAAAAATATCTGAATCAGCATATGATTGACTATTGTGTTTCTTTGTTTAGTCTTAATTCGACATGGATATTGAAAATAAACATCGCAAGTTCAAACGTAAAGTATATTAAAATTATTTGTATAATATTCGCATTGTATCGCACCTGAGGAAAGCCTCCTGGACATTCGGCATGTCAAATCTGTAATTACATATTCATATCCGATAATCTCCAAGCTAAACAATGTCCTAGATATTGGTCGGCTGGGAAGGTACATGTGCTGCCGACAGGTACCCGAGTGATGTGGGCCACCAGTACCATAAATACACCCCACGCTGACCTCACCATGGCGACATTAACATATTCCACCCCAGATTGATATCAATACCAAGTGCGTGACCGCTCGACCTATAGGAAATATAATATTGAACTAAAGATTTATATCAAATTTGTATTATTATGAAAACAGAAACTGCATTTACTTTTTTAATCGTTAATTGTAGTGGGATAATGTATGAACGTTACACCACTCTGTGAAATTTATAAATAGATGAATAAATGAACCGTGTTATTAGGTTTGTGAAGTCTTACTGTATGTGTGTGTCACCGTTTGTACTAAAGTGATGTAAGTAAATGATTACCAAACTCTGCTAAAATTTTACCTGATCATACTTGTAGTATATAACAAGATAATTTAGAGTATGACCAAAATATAATATGATTAAAATGAAAAGACGAAGCATACATTGGATGCAAATAGTTCTCAAAGTTCTTAGTAGTCAAGGATAAAACAACGTGAAAAATCAAAGAATCTTACATTAATTCTAACCCCTTGATTCTGTGGTCTTTGCAGAAATGGTTTTACAAGATGAACGTCCCTTAACTTAACAAAATTTCTAAGGATTGTTCTATTGTTCTATTGGAAAGTTTCATCGGAGTAAAATTTAAATGCCTCAAATTGAAAGAATTGGAATACTGACAGCCTGTAGGTCATCTCCAAACTCAACACATTTTTATATTTCTCTCACATATGTTGGAATTGTGAGAACAGTAGATTTCATATCAGTTTATTGATTTAAATTGTATATTAACTTTACTTAGATAAGATAACGTATGCAAACATATATATAAGAAGGTCAACATTACATAGCTATCTAGCGCAGTAACTAGTGACAAGTGTATGTTGTGGAGTAAGCGGTATTTAAATTATGGATGGAATCACTTAATTAGATATATATCAGTTATACCTTATCGCGGTAATAACATCGTCTATATACAGAGCCAACGGAACAAGTCTCAAGTAGGCAGCTTCTAAAGTTGACAAACGTACGAACGCCACTGAGGAAGTCAGGGTTACCAACTTCTGATTTGTAAAGGTTATCTCCCCTGGTGTTCTGTTTACTTTCTAGCATATATAAGGACATATTCTAGACTGGTGTTATCTATGAACACTTAATATTTAATATTTGCAATGATCTTTGCAACGATTAGAGGGTGGCTAGTTATATTATGTACGCTTGCCTTTTTCTTCACTTACTGTAATGGAGTTTTTAATGAATATCTCAGTATTGTAGTATTGGTTTGAGATTTCACTTAGTAGGACGCTCTGTACGGATCCTGTCCGTAGTGAACTGCTGTCGAGAGAATAGATGATGTTCTCACGCCGACAGTTTAAATGACTACCATAGTACGGTAGTGACCCAATTTAAAGGGATTGTTGTTAAATTTTAACTTTACATTAGATAACCTAATGGACGGTCACCCAGATGGTCACTTGGGCGAAATCTATGGATTTGTTTTTAAACCGTGTCATTAGACCACACAATTGTATCATTGTTGTATCAACAATGGTCATACCTAACAACGAGAGGAACGTCGCCCGACATTCTGATGTTCACACGGCTTCTCAAATTCTTTCTTTAGCAACATTCAGCACTTTCCAAATAGCTCTGTCAATAACAACTGTACATGTAGGAAATAGCGGTAACTACCCTTGTAAATACACAGCACTACCAGCCATGACAATGGTTCAGCATTATCTCCATTACGACATGGTACAATCGATACCTTACATTGACCCTGGCACAACTTACGCAGAACTTTTGTTTAGCGCGGTGTTATTTCCGCTCCGAAAAATTCTTCCTAAACTTGTCGTCTCACATACACACCTTATCGTACACAATTGATCGAATTTCGATATTGCAATTTTTCTTTGTGTCATTACAGAAACAAAATCAACAAAGCTAAATAAGGTATTTTGGTCATAAAGAAAGTCGATGTACTTGAGGGTTATTTTATACTAATTGATTAAGTACACAAAGCCGCTCTGTTCGTAGCGTATTAGTAGTGACGTTGTCTGGCTCAGTTTTTTTAGTTGATATAACGTATTTGTTTTGTTTTGAAGTTTATAAAAGATGGAATACAGGATAAAAGCTGACAGGCTACAGAAACAAACATAGCAACAAAGGTGTATGATTCTACACCTTATCACTAGCATAAACAAACAGTTGATTTAACAAGATAAGAATAACACGACCTTAAGCGAAGACTGTTGGGTCATTTTTCAATCAATAATTTCAAGTATGATACATACATTTAAATATTATCTGATTAAAGAAGAAATTGTTATGATAATTTAGTTTGATAAAAGACTCGACATTCTATATTTTTTTTGTCATGTAGATTTTTTAAGGTACAGTTAATCAACCAAACTCGTTCTATACCAAACATTACTATCCTATACTGATGGTTGACATGCGTGATTACACTGCAGAAGCAGCTGATGTGGTTTACACAATCACATTAATAGGAATCCCCAGGTGACATCGACAATTTACCCCTCTAACACAAACCAACAGGTACACTGCAATGAAAAGAACCGGAGACGGAACGTGAAAAGCGTCACTGAGAATACACTGGCAGGCTTTACGGGGACTCGGTGTACACATATACCTACGTTACTATACCATACCACCCTCCGTCGCCTACGCTGTACGACTGGACCTGTCATACCCGTATTCTAACATGTCGATTTTTCCCTCTCTGATTGTGGCATTGTACAAAAGAAATAATTTCGTAGATTAACCGTCTAACGATGGCGATGCATTCAAAAACATAAAACTCTTCACAGTGGCTAAGTGGCTATCGACTAAATGACAGTACAAATATAGGTTCCTGTCGTGAGCACGAGTCATACACTTCCCGTGAACAGGCATTTATGTGTATTGCACGTGTATTTCGCGCCAGTTACCATGGATTTAAAGGCAAGGATTTAATTCTTCTAGATGAAATATGAAAATATTCATCGGACTTGTTACTCTACTACAGGCCGTCCGCTTTTCGGGTAAGTGAGTTTTCAAGTTGAGAGATAATTTAGTTCCGATAGATTGAATTACCTTTAAATCCATTAAATGCTAACTGGACTGTAGATTATTTTACGGGAAATGCGTTAACACTTGTCTGTTTTTGTTCTAAGATAAAAGCGCTCGACAGCTGTTTCATTGTATTGGTAATTTGCATTATGTAGATCACACGTGTTTATGTTTCAACGTCCTTTATATAAACAATGCCCCATCCCTTCTATAGCTTTAATAAGCATGCGTTACGTAATAGCGAGATGATTAGTTTACATTTAATTAAATTGTGTAACATTAAAAAACTTTATTTTAAACAAAATTTATTTGGAAAACAATCATCAGGAATCAATTTAAACTTTCGATTTAAATGTAAATTTAATGAGACCCCATTTGATGAGGTCGAAGATACATATATATTGATACAAGTACAACACAAATATTCACCAGTAACTCTTTCTCAACGAGATAACAGTGCCTACCAACGGGGTCCCAAGCCTTTCACAATCCCCCTCACCGAGTTCCCCTAAATACGTATTTACCGTCAATGTTCCTGCCCTACCCACTCACTACCCCCCTCTCCGGGTTCCCCAACATACGTATTTACAATCAATGATTCTGCTCTACCCACTCACAATGCCCCTAATACGGTTCCCCTAAATACGTATTTACCACCAATGTTCCTGCCCTACCCGCTCACAAAGCCCTTCTACGGGTTCTTCAAAATACATATTTACAATCAATGATCCTGCCCTACCCACTCACTACACCCTACTCCCATAACATGAGAGGGCGCTGGTCGGCCTTTTTCCAATCGGATATGATTTTGCCGACTGCGACCTCTCATTTCCGAAGCACTAATTCTTTGATGCAGTTTCCGCCCGAAATCCGGGCGGAACAAAATCGGCTTGAAAAACTCACTTAAGTGGTTAACAGTTCATGACAACGATGTCTCCTCACGGTTTATATAATATAGATCTCATATGTATGCCACAGACACAAATATATAGTATATTACGGACTAGAACACTAAAAATACATGTCCATGTCGTTGTAGCACATCTCTGACCTACATTTAAAACATGGCTTCTGGATTAATACAAAATAGCAGGGGGGATTTCAAACGGAACGAAATGATATGGAGTTTGTTTGTATTCCGCTTGTGAAACATTACATGTAATCCATTTTTGTATTAACCGAAAAAATCATGGCAAATGCTGTCTGCTTCGCTTCGAATGAGGAAAAACTCATTATTAATGTCTTTGACACGGATTTTTTCTCATATAATCATGGATTTATGGAAAAGATTATTTTGTGGACCCTTTTGACCATTTAAATGTATGTAAACACGATATACTCTTTCTTAATCCGAACTTTGAAAATGTGATCGTCAGCATCGGGAAAATCAGCTAAGGGCAGTTAGAGGTTACGCGGCGCCTGTCAAAAGTTTTTCGCCGTGTAAAACCTCTAACATTGTTGGAGTAACTACCCCCCTCTCCGGGTTCCCCCAAATACGTATTTACTATCAATGTTCCTGCCCTACCCACTCACTACCCCCCTCTCCGGGTTTCCCAACATACGTATTTACAATCAATGATTCTGCTCTACCCACACACAATGCCCCTAATACGGTTCCCCTAAATACGTATTTACCACCAATGTTCCTGCCCTACCCGCTCACAATGCCCTTCTACGGGTTCTTCCAAATACATATTTACAATCAATGGATCATTGATTGTAAATATGTATTTGGAAGAACCCGTAGAAGGGCATTGCCCTACCCACTCACTACCCCCCTCTCCGGGTTCCCCCAAATACGTATTCATCATCAATGTTCCTTCCCTACCCGCTCTCAATGCCCCTAACAAGGTTCCCCTAAATACGTATTCACCATCATTGTTCGTTCCCTATCCGCTCACAATCCCCCTCTCCGGGTTTTCCAAATTCCTATTAACCATCAATGTCCCTATCCGTATGCACTTACAATGTTTTGTTCCCTCCTCAGACAGCAGAGTACATCACATATTGACATTCTACCAGTATCACTTACAATGTTCTCTCCCTCCCCTCCCCGCACACTTCAACAGCGTCCCCTCCACTCATCACTTGATGTTCTCCCCTCACAACGCATAACGTGTCGATATGAAGCTACCATCCGTGTTCCTACCCATGTACGCGTATAGTGCCTAGTACCGTCCCCCCTCTAACAACAGTGTCCTCTTAATACGAACCTACCATACTGTCTCTTCCAATACCCACACATATTGTTTTCGTCCCTCCTCACAAATGTTCCAATCCACGTACCCATAACAGTGTCCTCTAAATACCTACCTACCATAATGCCTCTTCCCATACCCACACATATTGTTTTCGTCCCTCCTCACAAATGTTCCAATACACGTACCACCATGCATTTGTATTCCTCCCCCGTTCAATTACAAATATTAACGATCCTCAAAACACCGAAATTCCTATTTTTATCTACCATCAGTGTGTGCCCCCCAACCCATACACAATGTCTCCCCCTTCCATTGTTCACCAATGCACCCCCACAAACACCAGTATCTGTCCTTCATACCAATGTATTAAACTACACACATACATGAGTCCCCATTAACCTCCTTGATACCAGTGATGATATTATAAAAAATCACTTTACAAGGAGTGAAGTAGAATAGTGTTCTGGTGCATTTAAACTCTCTATTTTAATTAACTTTTTACCTGCCGTTATAACCTTATCTGTAGGAGCAATGTAGCCCTCCCCTACACTAATCCCCTACTAAATTGTTCATTTAAATTACCTCCACACACGCCCCTCTCTGACACCCTCATATACAAATCATACATTTTAGTTTCATAATACATGCGATCTTTCAACCACACACGATCCTTTTGATGTGTGCAATCTTGTCTGTGTTGCTTCTGTTTGTGTAAAGAGTTGATGAGAATCACTTGGTGTCGATGAAATTGTTTCTTCTATATTTTATCGAATTTGAGATAGATATACGGTTCTATAGTATGACATATCACAGATCTGGGGGAGGTCGAGGTCACGGACCAACTAATTCACTACTTGGCCGATGCTTCATTCTTTATTTTCGTTTTCCCTGTCAATGAATAACAGAAATCTTTGACGTTCGTTCGTCATTTATATTGTGACATGAGAATGGCAACTTAAAGCAAACAACGTCAGCAAATAAATTCCGTATTATGATACACAATCCGTTAATTGTATAAACAACACAGTGTACTCGCACTATACTATATCACAGTTATATAATAAATGTACATATGCATCACACAACAAGATTTGTTTGTTATAATTATATATTTACACATTTTCTTGTATCCAAAATTGGCGACGTCAATATCAAATAACACATACATCACACACTACTCTCAATAATACAAGATGACTCATGACACATTTATGCTGATCAAGATGATATGTTCACACAATAAACCTTGACACTTAGCAAATGAATTTGCTAGTATAAATGTACATGTCGAAAATACTTCCAACCAACTGCTTGAGGATGCCGACATGTCGGTACGTGTGTACTTAATTCTAGCCTAGGGTACATTCTATCATCTCAATACTAATTTGAACAACAATTAGTGCCAATTACTACCATAACAACGACAATAATATACCACAATATCTACTGTGGGTAATTACTGTTAATAAGGTATCGGCAGTGTTAATAGGTAATGGTATCGTGTCATCTTAACATATTCTGTTACAATAATGTTATCCTATTAAGGCAGAGAGTACAAGGACGCCTAACTATTGTATCACCATTGTCACTATTGTGTGGTAATTATGTCCTTTTCAATAGAACTATTCCATATAAGCTACATGTTGCAATGCATGTTTGAAAATAGAAATAGAAAGCAGAACAAACATTGAATGAGTCTAATTCAGCATCTTTACAGCAAAACCTACTCTTTTCTAATGTGGTCATCCTGGAATGACAAGCGTACATCATCAAAATGATTGTCCAACGTTACTCCATATACATATCTACAGTAACCACCACAAACTTTTTTAGATTCAACTGTAGGAATTGTTCCCAAGTACACCATTAGTTTTTTGTTAGGAGAAAAGTAAATATGTTTAGGCTTAATAGCTGTTCACTCGCATACCAAATAGATTTTACAACACCAATATCCCCAAAAAGGATTTTTTAATCTTCCAACCACTCAAAAATCATTAGGTTCTGCTAGTTTACCGGCAATTTACTTTTCATTGTTCCAGTGTTTGTGTAAATTATGTTTTGTATAACCTCCAATTCCATATTAAAATTGCCACGTCTTGGACATATCTTATGTGATATCCATTCATCATCAATGAAATTATCAGGGAGGCAGGGTATCCATACTCAATAATCCGAGTTTATACTTTATTTTGCAATTTATTCAACAAAATTAGAGTTAAGATATTGATATTTTGATATTACCCAAAATCATTATTGAATGCTTAATGATGAAGACATTGTCATGCCTTTTTACGGTAACGGCTTCCTTTCCATTATTTTATATTTGATTGATGATATGAGTTGTGAAAAACACGTTTGTTCGCGTCCACTCATTGATTTAGCTATCTTAATTGCTATCACAGTAATTGAGTTGACTTTTCACTTTCAAACTACTCCCACTTGTCAGAATATATGATATCTATCTCTCAATACAATTCTTTGATTAACATTTTTGTTCTTACTCCTTAATTTTGGGCGACCAACCTTCAGAATATTAGCACGTACAGTCACAATCGCATAAATAAATTAGCGACATCAATTAAAAAAAGCTAAAAGTACATAACTGTTTAACCTATTATTAATAACATGATTCATTCTATATATCCTAAGCTACACCTCAAAACAAAAGTTTTTAAAAGAGTATAATAAAATGAATATTGCGATGACAATAACATGCACCAACATGGTTGTTCCCCGAGGATTCCTATATAATTATACGTATGGACATACCC